ACTGCAATTTCTAGGTGGATGCTTCTCAAATGTACATATTCAGCCCTCATCTCTCTCCTGAACTTCAAGACCACATTGCCGACTGGCTGATGGACATCTGATATCTGGTGGATATCACATAGGCATCTCAAGCTCAACATATTCCAAACCAGACTCAACATTTCCTCAAACCATCCAAAATGCCATTCTTATAACAGAAATCTGACCAGTTCACTCCTTTGCTCAAGAAGATTCCCTTCAGTGGCTCCCTATTGCCTCTAGGGTAAAATAAGGATCCTATTTAACATTTAGAGCCTTCCACAATCTGACCCCAACATATCTTTCCAGGGTGATTACACTTTACTCCCCAACCTTCCCCCAATCTATGTTCCAGGATCCTGCACCTTTTGTCTCTGGGGCTTTGCATGGGCTGTTTCCCATGCCTGGAATGCTCACCCTCCTAACCTGGCTCCTGCAATTCCAAGATCCCTTTAAGCTCAAGTATGACCTCCTTGCCTTATCCTCTTGGCCGTTGGTATACTTGCCTCTCCAAAACAAAACAAAAACCCCCCACAAGTATTTTTGTCGCATATATTTTATTTTTACTTGTGTGTGCTGTCACAAATAGACTTTCTAAGAACAGGGATGGTTGGTTTTTGTCTTTTGTAGCCCTACTATCTGGTGCAGTGCCTGACACACAGTAGATGCTTAAAAAGTGCTTGATGGAATGGAATCGATTCTAGTTATCAAATCCTGTTGATTCCCTGTTTTGAATTCAGACCTTTCAACTCCACTGATGCCCCAGAATGATTCAACAGAACCTAGACTAATTTTTCTCCTTCTCTCTTTATCCCACGTTTGCTAATGTTGCTAGAATAATCTTTCTCTGCATAGATCTGTTTGTATCACTACTTACGAGGCTCAAAAATCTTCAGTGCCTCTATGGCCTTAAAATGAATTTTATCAGCAAGTTTCACATTTCTCTAACCGGCATTCAAAGACCCCCCCACAATCAGAGGTTATGCTTCCTTTCTGGTCATATTACTTTGTTCCAGCCAAAATGGACAACTAATTCCTAACCAGGCCATCTGAACCTTTGCTCACGCTGTACCCCGTGCCTGGGATGCAACATCTACTTCTTCCACAAATTTCAACCCATCCTTTGAAGTCAAATTTAAACAACACCTCCTTCAGGAAACTCTCGGTGATCCTCTATTGATGACTTCTCCCATAGATCTCATTATCTTGCAAATCTCAGGTGCACTTGTGTAATTTTGTATATTATTATGGTTTATTTTAGTTCCTACTAGACTATACCTTCCATGAGGGCAGGGACCAAACCTTCCTGAAACTTTGTACTTCCTTCAGTAGGCACACACTATAGGCGCCCAACAAATGTTTGTTGTGACAAAAGGCAATTAATGAGCATCACAGGAACTGCTATACTAGCCCACAATCCTTGAGAAACACGAGACTGTGGATTCAGGAACCTCCATCACACACCAGTCTGGTGTCTCCAATGGCAGTGGCTTAGGGTCTATCCATCTGTTGAAGTCTGGACAGTGTGACTCCCTCCTTCTGCTCTGCTTTCCCTTGATTACCACATCCCAAGTCCCCCAAAGGAAACTAGATACCCTCACCTAAATCAAATGTGACCATTCTAGGGAATCAATACTTTTCAACCCCCACTTATTTTAATTCGATAATCCAAACCAAGTGCACTTACCAGGATTTCATTGTCATTGAGTATGGAGAAGACCTTAAGGTGCTACAGGGTATCGATGGACCTGTTTCTCTTACGGGGCTGGGTGGACCTTCAGGGTCCCTACACTGGGTCTTCAGATTTCTCTACTCCCGCCGGGGCACGTGTAGGGTTGGCCCCACATTGGGAAAGCTTGCGGCAGTCCCTGTGGCTTGGCCTGTGAGGGTCAGTCCAGATGGTTTCTTGTGGATCCGAGTCTGGGAAGACCTTTTAAGCTTGGTCCTTCTGGGCTGGGAGCCCCAGAACCTGTGTAAACCCCTAAAGCTCTCCTTTCAAGATGTGCAGCTGGAGACGGTGGAGGGTTCCTTTGAATGTTTAGTTGACACTGCAGACTTGGTGATTCTCAGAACCACTGGTTTCCTCTGACGACAGCACACAGCCTAAGAAGCACCAGCAAGTTCCTGTTCTGGAGGAGAAAGTATCACCCTTGTCATGAGCCCAAAGCAACACATCTCATTATGTGGAGCGGTCTCACTTAGGGAGCACAGAGCTAAGCTAGGAAGCAATATCGCCTAAAGGACAAAAGCACAATTGATAGAATTGGGATACCAGGCTTTAATTTTGGCCAAAACAAATAAATTAAAAAAAACTTTTATGTAACGAAAATAATTCTTTTGTATCTGTCTATACACTATATGCTATTATAGGATACTAGGTGGTAGAGTGGAAAGATATCCTTGGAGGCAAGAAGACCTGGGTTCAAATCCTGCCTCAGACCCATTACTAGTTGTAGGACTCTGGGCAAGTCACTTAACCTCTATAGAAGAGTTGTTGTAAGGGTTGTTGTAATGAAATAACAGTATATAAAGCTAGATGCAAATCTTAAAGCACCATATAAATGTTAATTATCATATCTTTGGGGCAACATGGGTAGAGTGCGAGGCCTGGAGTCAAAAAAGACCTGAGTTCAAATCCAGCCTCAGACATGTAAAGTCTAGTAATAGCTGTGTGACCCTGGGCAAGTCACTTTACCATTTGCCTCAGTTTCCTCACCTGTAAAATGAGCTGAAGGAAATGGCAAACCACTCCAGTATCTTTGCCAAGAAAACCCCAAATGGAGTCACAAAAAGTCAGACAAGATTGAAATGATGAAACAAGACACTATTAACACTAAAATGCTTCAAGGATTTGGTGCTTCTCAGGGATGTTTGCTCCATATATACGGATGCAGTGGATTTGTTTAGCTTAGCTCCAGAAAGAACCAGGAACCAGGACCAATGGGTAGAAACCGAAGAAAAGCAGAATCCAGTATCAGGAACACCCTTCTATCAGAGAGCCAACAAAAACGGACTAGCCATCAGCTGAGGTGTTCAAGTGGAAGCTAGATGACCACTCATCATGACAGCCGACAGGGTTCATCCACTTGGCAGGGGAGGCTGGGCAAGATGACCTTGAAGGTCAACTCTGACTCAAAATTGTTTTCTGCAATTTCTTGCTTAGATCTGTTTTATCCTGAAATATCTGTATGAGTTATTGGCACCAAAAGTGGAGGATCTAATTCATAACTGGTTCCTACCAATTCCTTTTTTCAATACCCCTGCTGCCCCTTTCAATCTCTCCTTTGTACATAAAGTCAAGATTTTAAATTTAAAGTTAAAGGAATTTATCATAGGGAGCCCATGGATATGCAAGCTTATTCTCAACGAGAAATTACAAAAGGGGTCCAATTTTCTTATTTTCAAAGACAGATGCAAGAATGTTCATACCTACTCAACCTCACCTGGAAGCAGTGAGATGGGCAGTGTAGGAGTCAGGAAAACCTGAGCTCAAATCTGGCCTCGGACACGTGCACTTGCTAGCTGTGACCCTGAGCAAGTAACTTAGGACACGTGCACTTGCTAGCTGTGACCCTGAGCAAGTAACTTAGCCTATTTGCCTCAGTTTCCTCAATACTAGCCCCTATCTCAATATTTATAAAAACACTTGGCACAATGCCTGACACACGGTCAGTGCTTTGTATTTATTCCCTTCTTCCCTCCACCTAGTTTTTTGGGAAGGTAGTCCACTGAGGAGCAAATGCCTGAAAGCACAAGTTCACCTTCTGGCTTCTCCTGGTCTCATTTCACCCCTCTACGTAGTGAGAGGGTTGGTGGCACCATGGACCCAAACCTGCCCAGATTTAGGGCCTAGGGTCAAGGTGGGACATCTAGGGTAGCTATACTAGGTTTGACAGAATGGGATGATGACCGTTAACCATTTATTTCTCCTACATAAGATGCCCCACTGGCTAAATCTCCCCTCCCCCCTCGCCCCAAGAAGTGCTCTACACCCTGTCCGATCTCACTGACCACAATATTCGTAACTCGCCCACACCCACGTTCCCTTGAACACCATTTAGCTTCCTGTGTACTCAACACCAGAAGGCAGGGGCTGGGGGATCTGCCCCAAGGAGAAGCAGGGGAAAGGGCTGATTCGGCCACCACAGACCAGGTAATAGTGAGATCTGAAGATAACATGTTCTATCTGCAGCGATGCAGAGGCCATGAGGCATGGATGAAAAGATGTCATCTGTGGCCACGTGCTAACTTCATAGCTAAGCCCTGGCCCACAGGCCCGTGACCTCTCTCAGCTTCCTGCAGGACGCATAGTCTGTGCCACACTCTATGCATAAACTGTCTCCTGAGATGTATTGTAGGGTGATAGGGCAGCTTAGAGGACTGGAGGGTGTTTTCCATACATTAGTCATGTCCTCTATCCCCACTGTCTGGCACAGGGACTTGCACTGAGCAGGGGTCCCCATGGATCCTCTGGAGCAGACTTTCGACTCAGGGGTCTTGGGGGTGGGTGGGTGGGGGAGGGATTTACTTTTGCAAGTTTTAGGGGTTGCTGAATATTCGGAAAAAAATGATGCTAAACACTAAGTCAATTCAACTTTCCTTCCTCCTCCTCCTCCTGTCAACACCACCACACAAAATAAGGTACTCACAAGTGGATTCTAAACCCTTATTGTCTTAGTGAGGGAAATAATGGCAATGCAATCAAAGTAACAATGAGACATATACAGCTTTATTTAATAATTTGTAAAAAGTTGTACTCTAGCAGAGCGGCTTCTTTTCTATTTCTGCCGTTTAAAGCAATCTACCCCCAAGAGCCCCTGCACCCCCCCACTCAGCACCAGGCCAACTAGGCAAAGAGTTTGTCACTGAGAAAGCCAGGCCAGGGCCCTGGCGCTGGGGCTCTCTCCGTGTGAGATCCGGGTGGAGACTTCCCCTTGGAGGCACATTCCCTCTCACACAAAGGGAGTTCACAAGGCAAAGGATCTTTCAGACAACTGTTTAATGTCATTTTTAATGGAGCTTGCATGAGGTCTGCCTGGACACAGTGATATTAAGTGTACCATGATAATGCCTACAGAACTCCCTTCATCCACAGAACTGCTTCCTGCTCGCTTTGGGAAGAGCTGGACTGGATTCTTTTGAGATGAGCCCCTCACCATCCACAGGAGGGCTTCTTAATGTGTTGTTTGAACGGCAGACCCTTCTATCCTGCAGCAGCAGGTGAGGGCCAGGTGAGTCTCCACGCCTCCTTGGGCCCTGGAGAGTGAGAGCTCTGCATTTTGCTTTCAATATTTCTGCAGCAAAAGAGAGTCTGGTAATTAAACCATATGTGCAGTTTAAAAAACACAAAAAACAAAAACGACTCCACTCTGTATCAGAACTGCCACTGCTCACAGACTCTCGGTGGAGAATACTTTGCTCCCTTTTTATTTGGCTGTAGAATAAATAGTGTATGTGGATTCATTTGAACAGAAGCACCAGGCCGGCCTCCCTTTCCTCTATGTGCAAGAGGGTTTCCCTTTATCCTTAAGAAGGAGAGGTACAAATACTCATTTTGACCTTTTATATTCCTCAGCACTACTCTGAATTCAAGTAAGCTTGCAAACCAACTGAATGGAACAGAGAGCTACATAGCACAAGAAAACTCATCGGCCTGGCCAAACAAAGTTGATTCTGTGTTTTCTCCCCTGAAAACACCACTGAAAACAGAAAGGAAAAAACAAGTCCCTTTTTTTTCCTTTGCAGAAGCTTAACAAGAAAGCGATTCTAAATTCACAGAACTATGCACACGCGCGCGCACACACACACACATACACACACATACAGAGAATCAGGATCAGAGAATCTTATCTGATAAATAGTTGAGAAAGCACAGGGAAGGACATATCTGCTAAGACTGGAATGTTATGGTGACCATGTGGGGGGGTCACTGGGTATGTACAAAAGAAAGGCTGAAAGAACCATCAATCCAGGCTAATGAAGAGGTTACAAGTGGCCATGCATGAGTGAGGACAGTAAATGCCAGTTTGCTGGATGAAATGCTATATTATGGGGCTGGTCAGTCGGGAGAGGACTTGGAGGGGTCCAGGAGAGGCGCATCTGTTTAGCAGGACACCTCCATGGTCTGTGGTCTGTCCAGGATGTCAGCTGGCTCGAGGGCTCCTGGAGTTCCTTCTGACTGCGTGCTGGTGAGAGACCGGCTGTAGACACTCTCTCCAGAGCCTATGCTGGACGTGGAGTGGGTGCGTGATCGCAGAAGCCGAGTCATACTGGCTGCTGGTACTGCAAGAGAATCAAAGCACTGAAAGACTGAGTGTTAGGGTGACTCAGTCTTCTAGAGAGGACAAATGGCCCTGGGTTGGTGTTTCAATTAGCTTGTTCCTACTGTACCCCAGAGGATCCTTAGAGAGCCACACGAATCCCAGGACTCTTCTGAGCCGCCCACCCGAGGTGGGAGGATGTGTAGAGCAGTGCTGGTCACCCCAGAGCTCTGGTGGCCCAAGGGAGCAGCACTATCAGAGCCCAATTTTTCAGATGTTCCCAAACCATTCAAACAAGGAACAGCAGGAAGGAGGTTTGGGAACCACTTCTAGGGAACTCAAACCTGTGGGTACATGCAACACTAAATCAAAGAAAAGAAACACACACACAAGTCTAAGTCAGTTTCACAAACACAGCACAAGCCCGATACAACGTGGGTCTAGATGGGTGTGACAACCACCAACGGTACAGGGGTATCCAGACAAGAGAACTGGGAGAACAGAAGTGGCAATCTGACCTAGAAGAGGGACAGCAGGGACAGATGCCAAGGAGAGGTCAGAGGTCTGACTCCTGCTGTGTCCCTAAGGCCAAAACAAGCGTAGCGCCTTCCCACATCTGGCACAGCAAGGTCTGCAGACAGCATCACCCTTCAATGACTCTTGGATCTTCCTCAGGTTTGGGGGCCTATCACTCTCTGGACACGAGATTTCAGAGGTGGAGCCATGGCCCCAGGAAAATGGCTTCCAGTTTCTACCACCACAGGCTATCGTGTTCTCTAGAATGAGGGTCTCATTTCAAGGACTGGTGAGCCATGGGAATGGCCTTAGGGTGGGCAGAAGAGGACCTCTGGCCTTCTAAAATCTGGAAAGTGGCTGGTACCGCTGCACCAGGACCACTGGCCTCTCTACTGTCACCCCTCCTCTCCCCCCTCATCCCTTCTGCTATGCACTGGAGGGGTCAGACCCAGAAGAATGACTGACTCGGGGATGGAATGAGCCTCGTTCTATCGGGCTCCCACTGCACAGGAAGACTGCTAACATGCCGCAGGCAGCCAAGGTGGCCAGGAGAGCACTGCTGGGAGGAGAGGGCAAAGGCTGGCATGGAGGAAGGTACCTGACTCGGTGCTCAGGTGGCTGAGCTGGACATACGGGACTGGAAGCAGGAGGGGATATAGGAAAAGGCATGTTAGTTACCTTAAAATGCCAAGAGGCCTTCTAGGCTGCTTACTTAAAAGCAGAACAACAGTTTGGTTCTTAGTTATTAATGTTACTTTCAAGCTTGATGCTTTTCAAATGGCCTCTCAGATATTTCTTCTCTCATCCAAATGAAACGGAAGTTATTTTCCTACTCCCTATAGTCACAAAGTTTTATATCAGAATTAAAAGGAGAAGTTAGTGAAAAGGGGGGATTGACAGTTTACTGTTCCCTAAGAAAAGGGGCAGAAAAATGGATATGCCAAGAAAACTCAGATCTGAATGCAAAACCCCATGGTAATGGTTCTAGGTTTGGCTACACAATGACTCCAGACCAGACAGGGTCTTGCCAAGCATTCTGCTGAGTCACGGTCCAATGCCCTGAGAGCTGCTGTCTCAAATGCTTTTGGGAATTCCTGGTCAAAACTCCCAGAGGAACCAGGTTTGGTCCATGTGTGCTGAAAATGCCCACTCGTATGATCTGTCCAAGACTACACCTTCACGCAGGGGTGCTCCCAGGGGCAGACAGGACACGTTCCCCGCAAAAGCCCTTGCTTCACTGAAGCAGGGCCCAAACACAGAGGAGTTTTCATAACGTGGAGAGTAGGTACTACTAACGGTACCCCAGTGGTTAGCTGGGAAGTGAACTAGACCACTACTCAGTTACGGGATCTGGAACACGTGACACCTGACCTCCTTGGGACTCAGCTTCCTCATGTGCAAAATAAAAAGGCTGGACTAGAGGACTGCTAAGGTGCTTTACCAAGAACCAGTTCTAACTCCGAAAAGATGTGCTGAGTTCAAAACTGGATTCCTTTCCTAAAATAATGAATGACACCCTAGGAGACTATTGAGCAAATAAGCTCTTTGAGCTGGCCCAGGGCCTTTCGCCATAATGGAGCTTGTACATTGCGACGCTAGAGCACTTAACACAAATTCTGGATAACCAAAGGTTTAAAAATATTGATGCCACCTCCTCCATGAAGCCTTTCCCTGATCCCTCCAGCCTTGAGTGTTCGCTCCCTCCTCAGATCCCCCTGTATTTTGTCATCTGTGCACATGCTACACTCCTCAGAAGAATGTAAGCTCCCTCAAGGCCAGGGCTCTTTCATTTTTGTGATAGCACCCTCTGGGCCCAGTACTATGCCTCATACATGAATCAATGTTTGTTGCAATGAATTTGCCTTGTGCCTTGGCACAGGCACAAAATACCCACGTCAGAGTGTTGTAGCTGCGTGCCCGGTGCTCTTTGGACATCACCCTGGACCAAGCTATGCACAGGACTACAATTCTCATACTCCTCCAAACCAGAAGTTGCATGTTACTTACTATAGCCCATTCCCTGCACAAAGTATTTGAAGGCTTCGGTCAGCTTCCCAGGCTAGGGGAACAAAGTGAGAAGACATTAGTTCAGACAGCTCCACTGATGGTGGGAAGCAAAACCAAATGATCTTTTGCCTTCTTACCTGAACCACTTGAGGTAACCCTCCACAATCTGCCATCTAGACAAAGAGAAATAGGTATGTTAGCTCTCTGCTTATATTTCTTACATTTACAACATTCAATGCCTGCACTACCCCCTTAACAAATAAGGGATAGTTCACTTTTAGGGTTCTATTACTGATTGGCTGAATCAAATGGTACATTTCCCCCACCTTGCCCAGGAATAGTCTCTGAGATAGATCTGAGACAGTCAGTCCCAAACCTTCTGAGCTTGTACACCACAGGGCCTAACTTGCAGACTTGGGACAGGAGTTTTCTTTCAGAGGCTGCAAGATTAACTACCATCATGGACTGCGGTCTTGACGTCTGATAAAGAAACTCACTTTTTAAAACCAAAGCAGCCTGAGGCAAGTCACTCCAGTCATTCAAGAAACAGGTGTAAGGGCCTACCATGTGCAAAGTGCTACGACAAGCAACAGGAAAGAAGCAAAAATATCACCAAAATCTGATTCAGGCAGCTGGTGGCACAGTGGTCGAGTGCCAGGCCTAGAGTCAAGAAGACTCAAGGTCAAATCTGACCTCAGATACTTACTAGCTGTGTGACTCTGGGCAAGTCATTTAACCCGCTTGCCTCAGTTTCCCTACCTGTAAAATGGGGATATATACACATATATACGTGTCTGCTGACTATAATTATCATTATTATTATCGTTCCCTTCCTCAGGGACTCCACCATTCCCTGTGTGGCAATGTGATAAAGTGGAAAGATTTTTCTTTTTGAGTCTGAAGGACTAATAGCAAATCCAATGACTTCTCATTACTAGCAAGTCATTAGATTTCTCTGGGCCTCCTTGGCTCTCTCATCTGTAAAACAGGGGTAAAAGTATTTGTGGCATCAGCCTCATAGGGTCATTGTTGAGGCAAGTTTTTTGTAAAGCCTGAGGCACTACAGGAACGCAAGCTTGTTTTTGTGACTGAGCTGCACATTCTAGAATCATGTGATTTCATGCTGGAACACTGCCTGGATGATGACTTCCTCCAGAATCTCTGGGCTGCCTGCTGTCTTTGCATTCAGTCGTTTCACGTGTGTCTAATCTCAGCAACTTTACAAGATTTCTGTGATAACACATGTTTTTAGAGGAAGGCGAGGGAGTGTGGACCTTACAAAGGGTGGGGGATACAGAAGTGGCCGGCTTATTCAAGATCGTGACTTACCTTTAACCTGACACTAACCTGGAAGGGATTTGTTAGATGACACAACATTTTGGCAAACTGTATCAGAAAAACTGTCTTAGGTCTTTTAAGCATACAAGCAGAGTTTAGTCATTCCCCAAAGCAAAAACGAGAATCTAGTTAGAGGCACAATGAAAACGGAATAGACATTGGGAGACTACTGACTCTTGGGCTGCTCTACATTGGCATCAACGGGAATGGAGCACGAATACTCTCATGAGTATTCAGCCTGCCTGATGGAAAAGCACCGAAGGGAAAATGGACAAGTGGCTACGACATTCACAACACAGACAGCCTCCTTTCAGGCAGCCAGCCTGATTTACTGACAGATAGGTGCCACTGAGGGGGCAAGTGGAGAGACTGCTGCAGTTACCTTTAGTAGAGTTGTGTTCATAGGGTCCAGGCGAGCGTTGCATTCCACCTAAAAGAAAAGATTCCCAGAGAAATGAATAAACAGAAGATCAATCTGAAGATGATCCTAAAAGGACAAAGAACCCACCATCCTGGTGCTTGCAAAATCTGACCCCTTACACTCAACTCCTTAGGAGGCCAGTGGTGAAGAAGACCGAAACTTAAATGCCATGCTGGTCTGAATAACAGCTGTATGCAATGACCTTCCTATTCCCTTAAGGAAAATACACTGTACTAATCCTAAGGCATAGTATAATATCTCATCCATTTTATGGGGTCAGGGAACGATTGATTCTGGAAAACTGAACTTTTCACAAAACTAAGGAAGTTTGCTCTGGTGGTTCTTCGAGAACGTTTACATGCATGCACACATGTGAGTGTGCATACACAAGCGCAGTAAGTTATCACTGTCCCACCTCACCTGCTGACCTGCTTCTCCTATGTTTTGAAAACCCTGCCATTTGTATCCACTACCTGATTTTACATCGGAAAAAAAGACAAGGTCATTGGGGAAAATCAGATAACCAAGCATTTGGGTAAAAATTAAGCCAATATGCCGCGTGTGTGAGAAAGACAGAGGTGGAAAGTGGCCTGATGACAGTTATTTTTGTTAGGCTGGGGGCTGCTGGCTGACCCAAACAGAATGCTGACTGTGGCAATACTGTGCATCCCTACACAAAAAGGCTGACCTGACTGCCTTCTGCAGAGCTAGGTGCCATATACAATAGGGGGGTGGGGTGGGACAGGGAAAGGGTTCGGGTTAGCTATTTTTGAAAACAAGTAGCAAACCCTAAATCTAGGGGGGTGGGGTGGGAATGAAAGATCATGCACACACATACCACAGCCTCAACTGCAGGTGAGCTGTCTCCTACCACCAGTAACGTAGGACACCTAAGTAAAGACCAGACAAAGAGCGACACTTAGAGACAAGAGGATACACTTGAATACACTCTGAATACTGAATTATTCTGAGGAAGGGGCAGAGGAAGTGGGTGAGGAAAGGGGCAGGGAGGGAAAAATAGAGAGAGGGGGAAGGAAGGGAAGAAAGAGGGGGGGAGAGAGAAGAGGAGAGAAAAGAGAAGAGGAAGGGGTAGAGGAAGTGGGGGAAGGAGGGTGAGAGGGGGAAGGAAGGGAAGAGAGAAAACAAACATTTGTCCATAAGTGAGCATTCATGTGGAGAATGTGGGGACACTTACTTCAGAGTTTTCGTTCTGTTGTCATTATTGCCCAGTGTGGGCCTCTCAATCTCCAGATCTCTGCGACTGAGTAAATCAAAGAAAGCAATGCGTGTTAGGCAGAATTGTGCCAGTGGACATTTCACAGAATCTGAGATCAATTAAGTCTAACTGGTACCAGAACAGAATTCCCTTCTACAAAATTACCCCCAAATGGCTCTGTACCCTCTACTTGAGTATCTCCAGCTGGTGTGAACCCACTACCTCCCCTAAGACAATCCATTCTATTTCAAAATCTCTCTAATCAGGAAGTTTACCCTCCCTCACCTGAGGCCTCACTGTCCTGTGTTGAGTACTTCATGGATAATTTAGGTCCACTGCAGAGACATGCTTCACTCCCTATCCTCCCCCTTCCAGTTCTGGAGCCATAATCAAATCAACACTCCCACAGCTCCATAAAAAAGTGTGCCAATCTATTTATTTCCTTAAGGCTTTACTCTCCAGGCCAGGCACTTTCCAAAGCAAAACGTCTTAGCCTAGTCACCACTCCCTCCCCTTTCTGCTGTTGCTGAGTGATTTTTCAGTTCTGTCTGGTCCCAGGGCTCTCTCCACTCTACCACCTAGCTCCCCTTTATGTACTGTCTTCCCAATTAGAGGGTAAGCTGCTTGGGGAGGGCCCCCCCCAACACGACTGTCCATGTGTTTGTAATTTATATCCCCCAGAGCTCAGCACAGAGTTAGGCTTGCTCTAAGCTAATTATTTCACCCGTTCCACTCACAGTTCTAAGCAGCCCTCTTGGGCCAAGAAGATAAAATTTAATTCATCCCTCCATACAAAAACTCTTCAAATACTTGCAGTCAATCACGTCTCCCTTAGTGTCTTCCTATTCAGAATAATAAGTCCTGGGGTTTCTTCATTTTATATAGAACTGGAACTGCTCCCTCCAAAGTCACCAATTAAAAATACTGAACGTAACAACAGAAAAGCATTTCCACATACAGAGTAGAAGATAAAGGGGATTATATATGAAACTACGAATCTCTACTCCATACGGCTTACTTTAAAATATATATATAAAAAATAAACTCAACACATCACTTTCAAAACTGTGCCGCATGGAACACCAGCCCTGGATTCAGGAGGACCTGAGTTCAAATCCAGCCTCCGACACATAACACTTACTAGCTCTGTGACTCAAGTCACTTAACCCCCAATTGCCTTGCCAAAAACAGTAACAAAAACCAACCAACCAAACAAACAAAAACCGGTCCTGCTTGTCTGTGCTTCCCTCTAAACTTTCTCTCATTCTGTGTTTTTATCGTGAATTCAAAAACCAAAGAAAATGAGCACCTCCATACGCAAAGCACCAGTGCATAAACCCTGAATCAGTTTGCTCCTCTCTCCAAGCATACAAATTCAACATGTAACCCTCAAAGCTTACATGTTTTCCTTCCATCAGCTCTCTTTTGTTGTGCATTTAAAAAATAATAATCTTTTTCTTTTGATACCGCTATTACCAACAAAAAACAGAAAAAAAAATAAGCACCGCCAAGCACACCAGACCCACACGGTGACCACGTCCAGAAGTCTCTCTCTTTTGTCTGTCCCCTTCTGTCACAAAGCAGGTAACACTTCATCATCATAGCCTCTCTGGAGTCATGGTTGCTCACTGCTTACATTAGACTTCTTAAAGTCCTTTAAAGCTGTTTTTCCTCACAACATGTTACAATGTATTGTCCTTGTATAAATCAGTGGCCTGGTCCTGCTCACTTCCCTCTGCTTCTGTTCATACTACCCAGGATTCTCTGAAATTCTCTCTTCAGTCATTTCTTACAGAGTTGTAATATTCTATTACCTTGATGTATCACAGTTTGTTCAGCCATCACCCAAGTGATGGGCAGCTCCTTAGATTCTAGTTTTGTTTTGTGTTTTTTAAGCATCCTCTTCAGGATCAGAAAGTTTGCTTTCCCTGTGGCTATTTACATTGCCCTCCAGAATGGATGAACAAGTCATGGCTCCCAGCAGTACCTCAATGTGCCTCTCCCCGCAAATTTATCATTTCTCCTCTTTAGTCAACTTTGCCAATCTGATGGCTGTGAAGTGGAACCTCGGGATTACTTTAATTTGCATTTTAAAACTTGGATTTCTGGAGCATTTTTTCATACAGCTGTCCCCCCTCCCCATCTGCCTATTCACACCCCTCATTCTCAGGACTTGGGCACCATTCCCTTCCCCCCACCCCTTTTTATGTGACTGGCGTTTCCAAGGGCTGTCCTCCATGACTGGAACGCTCTTCCTTCTGGCTTCTTTCAAATCCCAAATAAAATTCCTCCCACCTCCTACAAGAAGCCCTTCCAGATCCTTAATTCTCTGGCTTTCCCTCAGTGGATTATCTCTGATTAATCCTGATAGTCTGTGCACAGTTATTTGCACGTTGTCTCTTCGATTGAGACAGTGAGCTCCTTGAGAGCAGGGCTGTTTTTGACTTCCTTTGTATCCCTAGCACTTAGCACAGTGCCTGGCTGCACAGTAGGAACTTAATAAGTGTTTCCTGACCGGCAGAATATGTTGTCTTTGATCACAAGATCCTTGAGGGCAGGGAGTGTCTTTTTGCTCAGATGTGTATCCCCAGCAGTTAGCAGTGTCTGACACTTGACATGCACTTAATAAATGCTGCTCACTAAGCTAAGTGCTTTACAGATATTATCTCATTTATCACTCTAGGTTACAATATCACCTCAAGAGAGAACAGGAACCACCACAGTGCCCTGGGGCACAGGCACCCATGCATTCATGGGGACTGGGACAAAAAGATGATTTAGCAAAGGGAAACAGCTGAAAAGGTAGGAGACAACCATTCCTATCAATTAGGAAATGCTTGCCAACCCCTGGGAAAATATGGGCCCCTACCCTGCTCTGACCAGCAGTTTCTAACTGCTCCCAAGAAGACCCCCACATACCCCAGCAGGTTCTAACTCCCCTGTTCCCGTACAGAGATAGTTCCAAGGACATTTCTGCAACCTTGTTTTTGTAATCTCTTAACACCTTCAACATTCCTTTCCCGTAGCTCAGCTATTCTGTGTACCCAGGGTATATGCTGTCCCGCTTTTTACCATGGATATGTCCTATAAGAACCCCCTTCTCCCCTTTCCCCCTGGGCATCCCTGTCTGAATAGGGCAGCATGCTGTACTGGACTGCAATTACTCGACCCTAAATAAATGCCCCACTTTATTTACTTATCACCTAGCTCATCTGAATGTCTCCCCCCTCCCCAGGTTGATAGGCTCTTATTTTTATAAATTTGAATTAGTTTATGTATCTTGAAAATGAGACCTTTATCGGAAAAATTTACAACATGCCCCAGAGGTTCTCAGCTTCCTAGCTAAGCTCCTCAAGGCCAGGGACCACCTTTCATGCTTCTCTAATTCCTATAATGTCTGAACACAGAAAAAGGTTCAATAAAGCCTGGCTGAACTGAAAACAGTTACTGGAGGGTTCATGTCAGCCAAACACATAAACTACAAGGCTCTACAGTAAATGTGCTCCTGAGTTTTTCACAGAAATTTTCTGAATCCCTTCCTGAGTCCTCAGAAAACAAACTTTCTCAGTGATTTAGGGCAGGTATGGATGTTTTGGAGTAAGTAAAGAAATAAAAACCCCACTACTCATGCATATGTGCCCAAATGGAAGATCTTACAGTAAGGCAGTGGAGGGGAAAAATGACACAGAATGAGGTCAAACTGTAATGTTCCCCTCTCTGTCCTTTCTCCCTTTCATGCTGCCTTGCGTCTTAAATTCATTGGTTCCCTACAGTATAAAGAAAACTGATACAGCCTTAAAACTAAAACCAGTTCGGTTGGAGCTATGCTAGCTACAGTTATCCCTTCCACATCTCGACTTTCCCTGTCTCAGGTTCCATATATTGTGGGTTGGCATAAGAAACTAAATGGGGAATTCTGTGGAAGCCACAGACAACACACAAAGGCAGCAGACAACACAGAGCCTATGATCAAATATTTAACCCAAATTTTACAATGAGGTACTATGAACACTCCATAGAAGAAAAAGGAAAAAATTCAGACTTCCTCTCTGGTCTGAAGGGAGGCCAAAACATTTCATGTGTGGGGGGTACTGCATCCCTAACCCCTACGATGTGACAGGAATAACAATGTTTGTGGCTATCTCACAGGTTGCTGTGGCAGGTGAAGCCACACAAGAGCAAACCAACCAAATACAATGGAAGCAGAAATGAGAACTTTTTTCACCCCTTTCCTAGTGTTCATTGTCTTCTTAGGCTGTATCTACATAAAGTTGCATTTCATACCTATTATATGAACCGAGGAACAGCTGCAGATTTTCTTGGTTAATATCTTGAGCGATATGGAGTCGATATGTTTGGATCAGGTCTAGATTGGCCTGCAACTCTTCCTAAAAGAGAGGAGACATGGTGCAGGTAAACTCCAAGCTAGAAAAAAGTTCGATTCACATGAGCACAGGTAGTTTTCATCCTCAGTGAACTAGCTGTCCCTTTTGTTCTCAGGGGCAAGAGATGAACAGAGCACTCTGTTGACAGACTTCTTGGTGTGTATGAACTGCTAAATTCATCTTTGAATTTAGCGTTTTTAAGGGAGACACAATTCAGGCCCTTTCTCACATAGACCCAGAAAAAGAAGCCTATTCTAAATTCTAAAATCATAAAGAAAATAAGAAATGTCATACTGGGTTTTGTTTTAGAAAGGCAGTGAAACATCTTGGAAAAACTGTTAGACCTACAAGGTCCCCTCATACCGCCTACATGATCATGGGGAAATCATGACTTCACTACTCATAGTCATAGTTTCCTCCTCTGTAAAGGGAGGACAGTATTTGCATTACAACCTCTACAAAGTTGCTGTGAGGCCAGTGTTTCACAAAACTTAAAGCAATATATAAATCATCACCATCCAATGGTCTAGAGAGCCCTATAATCAAGCTACCTTACTATGTCAGTTTCAGAAGGTTAGGGACGTGTCCTCATCAATCTTTCTTCCTTTAGGAAAGGTTTCTGATTTATCACCATCAAAATCTATCTTCACTTATCTTACACATACGATAGTCACTTTATTATGACCATTTAGCATTTCATGGGAGTTGGATATTTAAGTCAGGTCAGAATAACTTGAAGAAAAGAAGCTACCCACTCAAAAATCAGTGGACCTAACTCCATTCCAGAGGTCAATGCTGAGTCTATTCCTATCTCTGCTATTCTTACTGCCCCACGGCTTCTTCCTTTTTTAGATACCACAGAGCACCCAACCCTTGATTCACCTGCCTGTTTTCTCATGTTTTCTACTGCTTTCCTGTGCCTCTATTATTTCTTCCATAAATTACATGTACCCTTTCCTCAAATTCCACTCTGTAAGTGTGTCATTTCCATAAAACATTTCTAGATCTTACTCTGTCTGTAAAAGAAATCTGGCAAAGAACTTGAAGTTGGCAAATGACAGCATCCCCTTCCCTTCTGTCTCTCTAAGGGCTACCTGGCACTGGTGAGATGCTCTTCCAACTGTCACAGAGTACTGGGTGTCTCTGGGCCAAATGGGACTTTATAATGATAGTATTTACTTTAGCTGTTGCATGGTGTTATGTATCATGACCAGTTATATTCTCTGGAGGTCCCTCATCTCCCATTACCTCATACTACCACCTTGGGAAATGGCTGACAGGCTCAATGCCAATGAGTCTGCTGGAGTCAAACAAGACAGCTTTGCTCATGGGGTAATACACTCAGAGCCATACTGCATGACTTAGTTTTTGCCATTGATTATAAAACTTCCAAGTCAGAAGTGGTATGTTAACCATTATGCTTACCTGCCCAAAGTGGTGAGCCAAAATAATGTCTACAATGTTAGTTGTCCAGCCTGAGAACTAGAAAGAAGGAAATTAAATGTTACATACTCATGTAAAGTTTTCGTTTTTCTTTTTTTAAGTAAATTTTTATTGGTCTTTTGTTTTCACATCATCTGAATTTCCACTGCATCCCTGAAGTCAAAAATGAAGAGGAAATGGCATTATCATGGGACAGAGGCGCTGAGCATCTCCAGGAATCTTCTGATGGGTTGGTTTTCTGTGTCCCTTGGGTCCCTGGTAGCAAACAAGTCACGACTGAAAGAGCTGTGATAGTAGAGCCTCTGATGACAACCAATCACAACTCCTCCTTTCAATCCAACATTTATTAAGAGCCTGCTATGTGTGAGCAGCCACTCTGAGATGGAGGTGACAATGAGAAGGGATACAGACACTGAAGACACCAGTGGGGTGGGGTAAGTTATTTAAAGAGAAAAGGCATAAACAAGAATAAAACACCGAGTAGAAAGTGCAAGGGCACAAGGAGAAATGTTTTCTTACATGAAGCTTCAATCAGCCTCTCCACCACTTCCACACATATAATTCCTAATTCTACCTGATAGAGCCAAGCAGAACAAGGCCTTCCATATTGCAGCCCCTCAGATACTTGAAGACATCAATCACATCCCCTCCTAAGTTCATTTCTCTTTTCCAGGTTGAACATTCCCAGCTTTTCACTGGTATTTGTATGGCATGATCTTGAAACTCCTTCACCATGCTGATCCTTGTCCTCAGGGTGCTGTATCAGTGTTTGTCAGTGTTCTTCCTAAAATGCAGTGCCCAGAACTGATCATACTTCACCTGTGTTCTGACCAGGGCAAACACACTACAGCGGCACCACTATCTCCAGCAACCAGAAGACAGAGATATGGGCTAGACAGGAGACTTAGACAGAACCGGTAACATCGCTGGATCCAAAGAACAGTCAGTAATGCTTTGATGTCCTCTTGGAAGGTAGTCTCTGGGGGAATACCTCACAGCTAAGCAGATTCCCTGAGATACTCCACTAGAGAGCTGGATTTGAACTTGGGTCTTCCTGATATTAGGCCTAGCTTTCTATCTACTGTGCTGCCTTGCTGCCTCCACTATAAGAACTAGGTGACAGACCCTGTTAAATGCCTTGCTAAAATATAAACAAGATAAGGCTATAACATTTTTCCTGCTCTCTTGCTGAGGCGACCTCATTAAAAAAGGAAATTAAGCAGGCCTGGCATGACCTGTCTTTGATAAAACTGTAAAGTTCACTGTGATCACCACTTCTCTTTCTATATATTTACTAACCATCCATTTAGTACTTGGCTCTAGAATTTTGTGAGGAATCAAAGGCAATCTCACTAGCCCGTCGTTTGCTATAAAAACAACTGATTGTCTGATATCCAGGATAAATAAAAGAGTACCTAATTGTCCTCTATTCAAGTCACAGGATGAACTATATCCAGAGCCCTGGAAGAATTGGCAGTGTGATTTCAGAGGCACTGCCTATAAGAGATCTTTGAAAGATTGTGGAAAATAGAAAAAATAACTGTAGGATTAGAGAAAGGATCATAGGGTCATAGATGATAGCTTACTCTTTCTCCTACTGTACCCCTCCCTAGTTAGAGCTGTAGTTCTGTCATTAGTTATTATTGTCCCATCCACCCCAAGCCATGGTCCTATCTCTTCTTCGATCCTCTTTTCCCCAACATGGAAAAAAAAAACCACCCTTTTTTATTGTCTTTCACATTTTTGACCAGTATCAAGTTCATTGTAAGCAACAGAACTTCGGGCAGCGATCCTATAAGCCTATGCCATTCATATAGAACTCTTATTTATTTTCCCTTACCTGCTATTCTCTCGGTTGTATGTATGTGTCTCTTAAAAATCTGTGTGGTCACTTATTTCCCTTTGTATCTACCCCAGTTTCTTTAGACAGCTCCCTCATTAATCATTTTTCTTCGTATCCTCAAAATTTCATTCTAAGGAGTTTTCCATCCCTCCTAAATGGACCTTCCCTGTAGATGTTAACCTATGGGGTCTTATTTTCAGTTGTTCTCACAACTCCTCATCTAGATGCACAGAGTGCTAGCCCTAGAATCAGGAAGACTCCTCTTCCTGAGTTCAAATCTGGCTTCAGACACTTGCTAGCTGTGTGACCCTGGGCAAGTCACTTCACCCTGTTTGCCTCAATTACCTCATCTGTAAAAGAAGCTGGAGAGGGAAATGGCAAATCACTTCAGTATCTTTGCCAAGAAAACCCCAAACAGGGTCATAGAAGTGTCAGGCATGACTGCAAAACGACTAAGCAACAACAAAGCAGAGTCCTTCAAGTGCAGGAAGAGTGACCACTCGGGCACGCAGCAGAGGGATTCTTGCTCAGGAACAGGACTGGGCTTACATGGCCTCTGGGGTCCTTTCCAACTCCCATTCTGCGTCCACTCTACTACCTGACTAGCTCTTTAAAATCAATGACAGCGCTTACATGCAGCCCTTTAAAATTCCATTTTGGTAAATTCCAGACCACCACTAATTTGAGCTGCTGCCATTCTTTCGGCAGGAACACTTGGAAATTCTAGCAGTCAAGGAAAACTTATTTCAAAATAATTTTTTCAACCTAAAAACAGTGAATTTATTTTGGCATAGATGAGTTCCATGAGTACATGATGATTACTGGCATTCAAATCATTTATATGTGTAAGACTCTGCAACTTTATGAGTAGGTTGAACTCAACTTGCTACCTCTGCCTGAACCCCAACAAACACATCAGAAAGGAGGAATTTCTTCCTTTTCAAAGAGCATATGTCCAAAAACTTTAGGGAACACACTGTGAGATAAGTGCCTGGATAGTCAGAACGGGTACTTACTTTGGAGGCTGCCCAGTCAATCCAACCTTTAGCACAGGGGTCAACATTGATGAGCATAAGGCCTTCCACCAGCTCTGGATGACTGAGCTGAAAAAAAAAAAAAGAGACAGACACATCAGCACTTTTATGCCTTTATAGAGGAGAAAGAGTAATTGCAAAGAGAGTACCATTTTTCCAACCAGGCCCCACAAGGTTGTCCTAACACTGTAAGAGCATGGCTAATTATTTTCCTGTTCCAAAAGAGGAAGGTGGGCTTTCTGCTTTGATGAGAAAGCATGCAGGTAAGTGTGAGGCAAGAACTCAGAAAAACAATTCCTTCACATAAGAGTTAATATCTGAATGGGCAATCCCAAGGATAGTTCTTAAAATGGTTATCAATTGCTGCACTAATTAAGGGCTGATACGAATTCTGAATTTCTACTGTTGATATGTAGGTACTTAAGTAGTAGGGGTCATAAAACTATCACTTTGGTTCTCTACAAGTATCTTGTACCTTAGCCCAAATCATCCCCCTACAAAATGCTGAAACTTGAAAGCAAGCCTATTGGAGCTAGAGATTCTTAAGCATGTAAATTTCTTAGGATAATAGCTAACAAGGGATTTGAACAGTTCTTCACTTTTGAGATTATTTGCATACATGTTTTCATGTTCTAAAAATCAGAGAAGAAGCAAGATAAGAATAAAACTTTGGCTTCAAAAGCTTATTCTCCTTTCCCCAAATGGGCCTTTTTTTTTTTAAACTTATCTTATATAAAAACAAATTATTAAGTGTCTTTTATATATGTTAACCATTTCAAAACCTTCTAGGGTAGGGGTTCTTAACTTGAGGTCTGTGAACTTGTTTCAGTAGAATTAATTTTGCTGGTAATTCTATGCATTTAAAAACATTCTAAGTATCCAGAGGCTGCCAAACGGGTCCATGACACCAAAAAAGTTACAAGCCCCAGTTATAGAAGGTTCCTTCTTTTTTTCCCTTCCATCTCATCATCTTCCCAGTTTCCATATGGCCTTACAGTATGGTATATGAAGAGGAAAGCATGGCCTATTATGCAAGCCTATATTTGGATTTTTCTAGCTGGCCCTTCTCAGAGGCAAAGTTGGGGAACTGTCCTTGGTGCTTAAAGCATGTCTTAGCTCACTCCTTCGATGTCCTTTAGCTTTTGCCCTTTAATGAAGCAGCATGTCTTAGACAAGGGCAGCTCACAAAACCAGTATGTAGCCTTCGGTTCTTGGGCCCATTCCCATCATTTACTCACAGCAAACCTGCTGAGGATATAAGCACCAGCTCCAACTCCAATTCCAATGATACCTTTCAAGCTGCAAAACAGGCCAAGATTAAAAAGGTTAACTTTATATGGGAAGTCCCAGTATTGTCTTTGTTTTTTTTCTTCTCCTTCCCTTCATGATCTGGCCGGCTTCAAACATTCCCATTTATCCTCCTTAGACTTGCACTACCTGGACTACTAGTGGAATAACACCCTCACCCAGAATCCTCTTCCTAAAACAGGAACAAGATAGCTGAGGGAAACATCAGCTTTAATAGCACAGATATAGGGACATTCAACTGCATCACCTCTAAACTTACCTTAAATGAGTTAAGACGGCAGGCAGCATTTCAGCCAGCTCATCCATGGTAGGGTACTGGTACCTGAAACCACCATCATCATCATTATCATTAACAAATCACACAACTATGTGGTTTTATGATCTCCCTGTGAGGAGGATGCTATAAATGTCATTCTCATTTTTCAGGTGAGCCAGCTAGAGTACTAGAGAGCATAAGTGACTTGTCAAATGTCATACATGAAGTACGAGTCAGAGCCAGGATGTAACCCAGGCCACGTGGCTGTGTCTAGGAATGGCGGCTTCATACTACATTAGTCTTCAAGAAGTCCTCTATGTTATCTAGATTTTTAAAGAAATGTTTATGGTCTTAATTTTTACATGAGAAAAACCAACTGAACTTGGGTTGTATTTCATACAAATGACAATTGTCTTTATAAATAATAAACTTCTTTACTATGTCTACATCATCTTAATCTCTTTAAACGTTTGTGAGTATGAAGGGACATATGTGTGTGTATAAGACACATATATGTGCATGTAGTTAAAAAACAACAACACAGTCATAGCCAAAATGTATAGATGTTTTTCTATTTCTGCTTTCTTTACCTTGTATATCTTTTAATGATGTTTGTGGTTGGCACTTTTAACAGCTGTGCCAATTTGTTCAGACAATTCCCAAACATTAAGGTTGTGTCTACTTTCTGTTGTTGCTTTTATAAACAATGTCTAGGAAACTTTATAAGACAATACTTTATTTTTCCTTTTTAATTTCAAACACTGGGGGACTCTTTCTAGGGGTATGTTTGCTTCAAAAGATACAATTATTTTTATGACTTTTGTTATGAATTGCCAGGTTATTTTCCAAAAAAGACTACCAGTTTAAAATGTCACCAAGAATGCATAAGCATAATTGGCTTCCCCACACTGGGCTTGGTTGCTTTTATTTTTGCCAATTTCACATGTGTGAGGTGGTGGTTTAAAATTGTTTTAATTTCTGTTTCTTTGATTAGTGAAGTTAAGTGTTTTTATAAGTGTTTATCTTTTTTGTAAAGTATCTATTCATATCTCCTGATCATTTATCCAGTCTCAACTGGATATCATCAATTTAGGTTCATATGTATTCCTTTTATCTGATCAATACGCTGTGAAAAACATTCCCTAGTTACTCAAACACTGCTATACAATCAAATGCATCTTCCTTGTCCCCAATAATTTTTCGTCCATTTGCACTAATACCGATTCTCTCCATCATAACCTGTTATGACTGTAGTAACCAATTTTCTTAACTTTTTCAATGGTCATATGTGTTGTATTTCAGAAAGAGAAGAGGGACTGGTAACATGGAAAGTGCTAACATAGATGGTGAATGGCTGGAGTACTTCATTGGCACTCTCATGATGTCAGGAGAAAGTGAGGTGGGTGGAGCCCCTGTGATTAACTTTAGGGAGAACATGGACCACAGAACAGGAAGGCACAGATGGGTTGCAACCTGTATCATTGGAAAGATGAGTTCACAGATCCATTTAAATATTATGATATAAGGTATGGCTGTTTTCCCCCTACCACACTGCTATCTGTTTTTCCTGACAGCATTTACTGAAAAATGATTTGCCCCCAATGTTTAATACACAGAGACCAACCTTTTACATACATTTGAATGTACTTCTAGGACCTCTATTCTGTTTATTTATTTTGCCTAGCACCTGACAGACCTGATCAGTTTTGTTGGTTTTGAGAGAAAATAGAGCATAGCGGAAAAAGTGCTGAACCTCAAAGCCAGGAAAATCTGCCTTTAAATCCTGCCTCTGACAGGTCTCAGAATTCCGGTGTTGGAAAGGAGCCCAACGTCTATTCATTTCAAATTATACCAGAAAAAGAATCTGACTACAAGCAATCCAACCCTGTCAGTGGCCATCAAGGTAGCCTTTGTTTCAGGGCCTGCAATGAGGGGGAACCCCAGAGATAGCCCACTTCTAGACAGCTCTGTCAGGAGGTTTTTCTTGACATTGAAGCTCAATTTGATTCTTTACAACATCCATCAGTTCTGCCCTCTGGAGCCTAAAAAAGACCTTTCGAGCACTTGTCCGTCCCTTAGTCTTCTCTTCTCCAGGCTAAATTAAACACCTGCAGCTCCTTAAATCAATCCTTATAAGGAATCCTTCTCCTTTACAAGGTTTCCCTTTGCATATCCTATGGCATGGAGTTATTTCAAGGCAAAATGTGATTAAGTATCTTGCAAGCTTCAATAATAACACCTAGCATTTATATAGTACTTTAAAACTTGTGAAGTGCCATACATGTAATCTCAAAGCACTGTACAAATGTGGTTATCAGCATGTTTTCTTTTACGAAATTCTTTCCTACTCTTGATATAATCTTAATGTAACAAATATAAACTAAAATGGCCATTTCCGTATATACAATAGAACACAGAGAAGAGGGGAAAGGTGAAGGGAGAGAATGAATGCACATATAAGTTTAAAGTAAATACAAGGTAATTTTAGGAGGGAGTGACAATCACTGGGGGTCTCAGGAAAGACCTTGGGAGCTGAGCTTGAAGGGAAACAAAGGTGGAGATCAGGAAGGACTGTATGGCAGGCAGGGGAACAGACTGTACAAAGACATGGAGAGAGGAATGTGGTGCACTGTGTATGAGGAAGAGCGAAAGAAGGTGGTCAGTTTGGCTAGACCTAAGAATGAAAAAGAGAGTAATGTATAGCAATGACAGAAAAGCAGGTTAGAGCCAAATAGAGGAGAATGTGTTTGATCCTGGAGGTAAGAGAGAACCACTGAAGCTTCTTCAGTGGGGAAGCAATGTGGTCAGACTGTGCTTTGGCAGCTATGAAGAGGATGGATTTGAGTGAAGCAAGATGAGGCAAGAATAATGAGAAACTATCAGTCCATTAGTCTATTGTATATACAGAAGTGGCCATTTTAATTGATATTTTTTACATTAAGACTATATCAAGAGTAGGGAAGAATTTCATAATAGCTCAGGCTTGATGATAGCTCAAAGTAGCATAGTTGTGGTATGAAGAGACAGAAGACAATGTGAAAGAGACCATGGAAGAGAAATGATGAGATCTGGACTGACTGCACCTATGAAGTGAGTGAGGATGCTTTCCAAGGATGGTGGTGGCCTCAACAGAAAGATAGAAGTTTGGAAGAAGAATGGGTTGTGAGGAAAAATGATTAGTTCTGGCTTGTTTATATGTTGGGTTTGAGATACCTAAGGGACATCTGGTTGGAAATGTCCAAAGCTAACCTTTTCAACATCAGCTGATATTACCGTCAGATTCATGTAGTTTTTTCTTGTTGAGTTGATGTATTATTCTCCCCTAAATTCCTTCTCCAACGCTGTACCATGGCACAGAACAAACTCTGGGCACAATGACAGTAATGGCTGTGACAGTGATAGGAGAAGACAAGTTCTGTGGAGTCCTGCATCAGTCCAGAGAGGATTTGAATATGGGCCTGGGAACAAACCTTGATGATGCATTTCAGCAATCTGAGGGCACTGCTCTGCTTCTAATTGGAAGAGCTTTGTACTTTGGCTGACGAATTTTTCTGAGGCTTGTTCTTTTCAAAAATTCTTCTGAATGAACATCAAACATCTGAACAGGTCAAGAGATTTATTTGTCCAGGGTCATACAGTCAGCATGACTCAGAGACTGGACTAGAACCCAGTCTTCTGGACTTCCAGGGCCAGCTCTCTATATCATACTGGGCTATCTCTATTTCCATTTTTTTGGGTTTGTTTGTCTGAAGGATCTTTTATCCTTACACTTGTGAAATTTGAGAATAATTTATCTTAAGAGATTTAACTGTATATTTTTCTTTTGTATAAAGCTCTCTGGATTTTTTTATTGATGCCTTTTTTTATATCAGTCATTTCCAGATACATCCCACCATCTTCCTACCTCCCCCCAAACTCCCACTGCACCCCCACCCCCCACTTCCAAGTTTTCCTCTATAACAAAGAAAAGGAGTTAAAAGCAAAATCAACCAACAAAGCAACCATGATCAACAATGGACGTGACCTTCCTGGCTGTGTATTCTTATATGGCGGCCAATTATCTTTTAAATTCTATTTTTTAATCTTCGCTTTATGGTTTCATTTAGTTTTCATATCAGTTGTGCTTCATGCCACTATCTCATTTGTGTTTTCTGCACCTTCCAACAATGTCACTGCTTTTACAGCACCTTCCATTTATGTAAGCACAAAGCAGGTGCTTAATACTGCTTGTTGACTGATTACTCCCAAGTTTTTCTGGCAGGAGGTCGTCCTTCCTTTTCTTTAAATATCCACTTTAATTTAAACATTTGCTAAGCACCTAATATGTGCAAAGTGTTATTTTGGGAATGTAAAAACAAAAATGGCATGTCCTCCAAGAGCCTACATTTTAGTTTACTCCTTGACATTTCTAGAAATATTTCTGCTTTAAAACAAGCATTTTCCCTCAGCAGTTTTGTTTCTAGTTTTTCTTACATCTCAGAATTTTTGAATTGCATCAGAACTTTTATTCAATTTCAGATAACAAGAAGAAAAAGAAAATATTTTTAAGATTTTGTTTCTTTCTGGTATTTCCATAGCTTCTGAAAAGGGACTGACTCCTCAGCCTCTACTCGCCTCTCCATCTCCCTGGGAGTTGCTGACATCCTCTAAATTAGAAACTCGACATTAGGATTCCTAGGGCTGTGTAGGAACTTCAGGCAAAAGGACCACGGCAATGGTGCTTCCTTCCCTCGTCTGTACATCTTGAACCTGACCAGAGGAAAACTAAAAAAACCACCCTATTTCTGTATCCCCAAAGAGCATAATCAAGGACCAGAGAAGACCCTACAAGAAGAAACATCAGTTCTTGTCCTATTGCTGTAGTTACCTCTACAATTTTTCATAGTCAGTGCAAGCTGGGATAGAGCAAGCCCCAGTGTGATAACAGATACGAACAGTTTATTAGTTGGTCTATGGTGGGCTCTGCTTCTCATTTATAACAACCTATGTCTCATATGACTCACCTGTCAAAGGGCAGCACCTCAAGACCAGCAGAAGAAAAGGCTAGATAGAGTTAGGCACCCTGAGGCCTGGGCTCTGTCTTTTGCTTATGAGATTGGAGAAGATTTTGTTCAGGCATGATAAGAAATACTGAGTCCACCTGCAGCCAAAATTCAACTTTAGGCAGCAGGAACACCACCACAAACTTCTAACTGTTCAGGCCAATATTCGAAGCCTAAATAACCAGATCTGGGGAAAAGGATTCTCAAGCTTCAGAGATGACAGTGTGTGTGTGTGTGTGTGTGTGTGTGTGTGTGTGTGTGTGTGTGTGTGTGTGTGTGTGTGTGTGTGTGCGCGCGCGCGCGCGTGTGATGGTCAAGGGAAGTATACAGAATGAAAACAGACAGCTGGGCAAATGCTGCTGCTGCAGTTTAACAAAGGGGAGAGAAGGGACTGGCAGTAGATCTTTGGTCCCACTATATATGGGTAGTCAGTACATGGGTCTTCACGGTGACCTCAATACTGCTTTTTTTTTGTGATCAAAAGAACATACAGAAATATTAAGAGTTGGGAAAATGTAATACATTTATCTATTTCTAACTGACTATACAAAATCTAAATGTTAAGTCAATACGTTGGGCCAAATGTGGATGTTTTGCTAGAATCATTTTTAGGTTGGGATTACACAAAATGGGGTAACAATTTCAAAAGTCTTCCCAGAGTTTCCATGTTAATGTTCACTATAATCTGCTCTCCCCATCTCACATCAGATGTTTCCCCAGTGTGTGCTGCTCAAAATAACTTATTTGTAGTCTTACCCTGTTGGGAAAGGGGGTGCACCCTCCTGCTGGCCTGGAGCATCCACATGGCATACAGCAAAATGCTGGGTAATCTCTTGCATGTCTTCAAAGTTAAAGAATGCATTAAAACAGGACTTATCTGGGGGGAAAAAAGGACCCAGAGGTAACAAGACGTTCATTTCCACTAAATTTATTTTAACCAGTTTTTGCATTCAATCCCCCTCCTACATGATGCCTCTTTAAGTCCTTGCTATTTAAATCTCACAGCTTCTTTCTGCCAAGTCACTTAATTCTCTCTTTTACTGCTATCCCACTAAGCAAAATATTTAGAAGGTTCCATGTCAGACATTTCAATAACAGTTTTTTAAAAAATGACCATTCATTTCTAATTCTTTATATTGTCAATGGTAAATCAGATGGGGAAACTATATGTACCATTAGTGATAATACATAAAATGGCATCCTCCACAAATACACTTTGTTAACTTGTATGTACATGATCCATGATTTTTGTGCCTTTCATACCCCCCAACCAACACACACACACACACACACACACACACACACACACACACACACACACTCTTAGTCCATCTTATAAATCGAGCTAACAAGCAATGTGTTTGGCCAGCAGACCAACTTAATTCTCCTGTAAGGGTTTATCCTCCTTTTAAGTGCATGGAAATCTAATGTTTAATCATCTGTTGTGGCTGCTTAGATCACTTATTATTATCAGCAGGCTTCATGAAAGTTACAGTGCTGAAATGGAATTTCAAATATAAGCCACAAAAAAAACAAAGACAAAAACAAAAAAACAACACCACCAAACACAAAGCAGAGGATTCGTAACTGCCTAGTGAATTGGAGCAGTTTATCTAAATAAACTAAAAGAATGGACAGGTAAGTATGGGCACACAGTATAGGCAATAAAGAAGGGGAAAAGGCAAATGTGTATGGACTACATGGTATAACCAAGAATGGTCAAACCAACTCCCTTCAAATTTGTAGTATGTTAGGGCAGCTAAGTGGTGCAATGAATAGAGCTCTGGCCTTGGAGTCAGGAGGACCTGAGTTCAAATCCAGACTCAGACACTTAACACTTACTAGCTGTGCGACCCTGGGCAAGTCACTTAACCCTGATCACCTCAGAAAAAAAAAGCAAAAAAAAAAAAGTAGCATGTTGAATACTAAGTCATTGGTGATTAGATGGTAATAAGAATGTTTTTATGGCTTAGATGCTTATAGTGACCCAGAATATAACAAGAGTTTACATTCTGAATTGTCAGTTCTAAAACATAAAGAGCCAAGAATAAGATCCAGGGCAAAGACAGATCTCTATTCTCTTGTTTTAGCAAGTTCATTGAATGTTATGAATTCCATCAGCAGGTGTGGTATTCCTTATACCCAGAGTGCAAAATCCAAATGTCATTCTATATTTTTGCTCACTTCTCAGAAAGGAGAAAAGAGAATATCTCCTCTAGGTCTTGAACCCAGATTATAGTCTGACTTAAAAAAAAAAGACAATAACAAAGGACAAGGGGGCAAGTATAACAACAAAATACATACGATTTAGGCCAATGTCATGATAAGTGAGAATAACCGGTCTGTTTCCTTTTGGTGAGCCTCGCATGGTGACGTGTACCACGCCATGAGCTGTTTCTATGTCGTGCTCCTGAAAGAAGAGAAGGTAGTATTTCACCACAGGCTGAAGGGCACACCCAGGATATCAAAGCCTCACAATTTTTGCTTCATTTTCACTTTTTCCCCTGAGCTGGGATGAAATACTCCCTTATACTATACATGTATCTATGTGAAATGCTGTCAGAACACAGTTTTCCAAACCCTTCTAATAAAAAGGAAAAGGGTGGGGGTAGAGAGATGATCACATAGAGCAAAACAAAAAAAACACCCCATGATTATACGGGACTTATGAAATATGCAAAAGGAGCTGGCTGTGGAAAGGGGGTTAAGTGAGTTGGATGACGGAGAGAGGTATGATGAGGCTGGTTAAGAGCAGTCATCTGTAGGATCATGGATTTAGAGTACACGGACTAGAGCAGGCACACAAAGGAAGAAAGAAAGCTACTGGGCAAACCCAAGGTCCAAACTAACGGGGTTTGAACCAAACAGGAGAAAGTTAGTAAGCAGAACAGGTGATACATCCGAGCAGAGCCAGAGAGGAAGCTGAGGAGGAGAGTACAAGATGGAATCAGAGTATCAGGAGGGGTCAGTTTTGAAACCAAATGTATTCACAAGGGCCTGGTTCAAATATAATCTGCTCCCAGGAACCCAAGCCTTTAAGTTTTGGAAAAGAAAAACCTGCCATACCTACTTTGTACGAATCTATCCTATCTAGTATTCAGTTTGACACACCAATTTCATCAATTTTAACATTCCTATAAATTAGTAAGGAGCCCAAAAGATCTAAGAAATGAGGGGAGATCTGAAACACACAATCTGCTGCTGCCTGTCATATTCTTTTAGAAGGTTTTGTTTTATGGGAAGGTTCAATGTGGGAGAAGGGCTGTTGCCTGGGAAGTGACTGATATAATAAAACAAAACCTATCAAGTAAAAAAGTAACAATCCAATAGTAAAGCTAAGCTACTTGAGTTTCCTATCTAATAATGAACCCTCTTTCCTTATATGGGACATAGTAGGAAAGCTGTTTCCTGAACTTTAGTTCAACTGGGCTTCACCAACAATCGTATATCCTGAGGCATAAACCTCTCTCACATTAAATAACTCAACATTTCTCTCTCAATTGTTGTATTCTCCTATTAACACTGATTTGGGGAGAGGAGAGAACAGAGGAATTCTTAAGAGCACAAAGACAGCTGAACAACAAAGAGGTTTTCAGTGACAGGGAGAGGATGATGATTAAAGATAAAAGGACATCTGGATATGGAGAAGTAACTTCAGTAGAAAGATGCTAAGGAGGGAGTGTATAGGAACTCCAAGAACAGACAGGCTGGAAGTAACCAAGAATTTTGAAACTAAACTAAGCCAGGGGGAATTGAGAAAATGATCAACTCTGTCATCCTCAGATGGCCTGGATAAATCTCATAATTTCAAAACAGCTTTTTATATGTTTTTGTAAGAGTGACTTATGGTCCTTTAAAAGCCTGGAAACAAGAAAGAGCCAATACCATGCATCAAAGAGTGAAAACACCAGGGCTTTAGTCTTTATTTCAGTACTTGAGAGAGACTTTAAACATTTGCTGATGTGAATCATGCTTAAATTAAATCAGGCACTTACCGAGCCATCTAATTGACTACTATCTACTGAATCTCTAGGACCTCTTCCTTCACTAGGGGGAGCTGTGTTAACATTTGGCTTGAGATTTACACTTTCGAGATGTCGGTCTGACTGTGAAGAGCTAGGCTGAGAACTCATCTGGAGTGGAATGCTACCTCAATGATCAGAATTAGTGGTTGGATCACTGTAGGAGCAATATTACTACTTTTTTTTTTTAAATGATCAACTGCTCTCTGTTCTGGAGAAGGTGGTCTCTCCAGTCACCACTTCTCCCAGGCATTCTAGAACACAGCATGTGTCACACAATGCGACCCTATGCACAATTACCAAGAGGGGAGGGATGAAGATCTTCCTGCATACCCTCGGGTTAACTAGTCTCTCCATTGTTAAGGTACTTCTTAAGAGCCTAGTTATTTTCACTTTTAAGACTTAAAAAAAAAACCCAACAAAAAACAAAAAACAAAAACTTCCAACCATCTACCTGTGTCACCAAAAAGCTTCCAGACATACTTCCCCTATTCTTGGCTGCCTTCCCAGAGCCAATGAATGGCAAATGGCCACGATGTCTCTACTAGGTTGTCCTGCCATCTTCAAAACATAAGAACCAAATGCCTTAAATTTTCCCCAAGTGGTTCTCTTCTATCCAACTTTGCTATCATACCAGAAAGAGCCACCATTTTAAATGTCTCTGGAACTTATATTCTTTCTGCTCCCAACTAGGTCTTAGTCACTTTGAAGCTCCCAACCAATCCATCTTTAACTTGAGCTAACTTGCTATAAGTAATAATAAATCAATCAATAAACATTTATTAAATAGCTTCCCTCAGACCACTGTGCTAGGTGGTGAAGGAGAGGCAAAGTTTGGCTAAGACAAAGTCCCCACCCTCAAGGAGCTTACATTTTAATAGATCCAATGAACCACCTCCACTTTTTTCCTCACTACTGAAATGGTGTTCTATTGAACACTGTCTGACTGAAATTCAGAAGTTTTTTTAATTGTTATGCAGGGATTTCTGCTGTAATATAACAATTTGAACAATGTGAAAATCATCTCCCTTACCTGTTGTTTGAGTACATTATTCATTTCCTTCTTTAAAGTTCTATAGTGATTTTCCATACCTACTCTCAATCCAACCTTCCTGGTCTTGACTTTGAGTCTTATCCACCATCTAAGTTCTTATATTATTTTTTGTTCCTGCTCATTTCTTTTAATCTGAACCAATGTTCTCCCAAACTCCCTCAATGAGTTCTCCTGCTCCTAATAGACCTCCCACATCATCTTCTGTACAACACACTATGCTTTCAACCATTTCCCACTTCACATACACCCAAAATACTTCCCTCCCCTCTCTTTCATCCTCCTCCTCCTCACATAAATTTAACCAAATCCACCAAAATTAATAAAGAACAAAGGACAATAAAAAGAACAATTTTTATGAGGTCGCTTTGTCTTCTTTAGAATATAAGCCACTTTAAGGGAAATTCCTCAAAAGGTAGAATGGAATCAGCAAATTCAGATCTCCCTCCTGAGTTTTCAATTATTAAAATTTAATTATATCATCAGATTTAGAATTAAAAGGGACCCTAGATGCCATCTAGTCTAACCCCCTCATTTTACAACTGAGGAAATTGAGGCTCAAAGGAATTAAATGACCCACCCATAGTCACATAGATAAGTGGTAAAATGTGAACTCAAGTTTTTCTGATTTCAAATCCAACTCTTTATCTACTATGCCAAGCTACAAATCTCTCATTTTGTGGATGAAGAATTGAGGTCCTAGTAAGTCCATAGGCATGCCCTTAAATAATGATTAAAAAAATTCAGTATTTTGTGTCTCATTTTAAATTTGTATTTTATAGCAAAGTTTAGTTGTTAATTAAAAAAAATTAAGTTCTGGTTTCTCACTTTGATGAATAAAATCAATGCCCTTTACTGAGCATTCAATAAAGTTTGCCATTAAAAATTTTTTTAAATTTCCTGATTGCACACCCTAATGAGGTGTGCTGCAATGTGTTCATGAATAAGCGACACAGGCAAAATTTGAATTTATGCTCTTGACCTCTAAATTCAGCATTCCTTCCACTGTACCATGCTCAAGTGCCCTAGGGCTTTTCCAGGAATGCCAGATGAGACAGCTGATTTATGATACAATGGCTTTAGAGATGGGGAGCTGCTTCTAGATGCTAGAAGGGGCTAAGATGGCAGCTGAAGCAGCCAGATGGCAAGGAATGATGGCACCTGCCATCAAGAACAGGTGGCTCTGCCCTTACAGGGACTGGCTTAAATACTAGTTTTGCTCCACCAAAGGGCAAAAATCAGACTTTACAAATTGACCGTGAATGTGCTTTACATTAATTGACGAAGTCTAAGAAAAAGGTCACAGGCATGAGAAGGTCTTCCATAAGCAGCTCTTAGAGACCCAGAGAGAGAAATGTAGCAGTACATCCTTGGGAGGCCAGAGGAAATGAAGGCTCATACCCAAATGCTTCAATCAAAAATCACCTACGTTTTTCAGCTTCCATCAGTTCACAAAAATTTCTAAGAATAACTTGGGGTTAAGTAATGGGTCTGGTTTCATGGGCTTACCAGAATTCACCTCCTAATGTGCTGGGATCTGAACTGGAGGAAGCTTACAGTTTGATCCCTATTCCCTCTGGACATCTCAGCCCTTATTGGGCCCCTCCACAAAGAGTTTGGAGTGTTTGGCTTTAGAGCCCTCACTTTAGAACATGCTGCTTAGCTAATCTGGAAAGCATTTTTCACACGTTTTAAAGCCATTTAAGTACATGTGAAAGAAGATGCATACGTAACAATTCTGAGCTGCAGACTATAATTTATCTAGTATGCAGCTGGCTTCTCTCAGTGAGTCCTTAAACAGTATGCAAAAAATTACTCCATTATTTTGCCATGGTCATATTCCTCTGGGAATAATGAATATCAGGCACAAACTCTCTGGTAGACTGGCTCAATGTATTATTGCTTTTTTCTTCTATCATTCCACAAATAAGACTGGGTGTTGGTTTCAAGTACTGTTAAGGGTGAGAGGGCAGCTAGCTGGTGCAGTAAATAAAGCACTAGGCCTGGAATCAGGAAGACTTTAGTTCAAATTCACCTCAGACACTTAATAGCTGTGTGACTGTGGGCAAGTCACTTAACCCTATTTGCCTCAGTTTCCTCATCTGTAAAATGAGCTAGAGAAGAAAATGGCAAACCAATCCAATATCTTTGCCAAGAAAACCCCAAATGGAGTAATGAAGGGTTGGACACGACTGAAATCACAGAACAACAAGGGTTACATACAACCTGATCATTATAAATAAATATTTACTATTGAGTGCCCTGCAGATACACAGTAGAAGGCATTTTATATTCTCTGGAGAATACATACATACATACATACATACATATATATATGTTCTTCTGGAATATATATATTCCCGCATATAGTCTAGGAAAAACCTTTAATAATCCAATGTTTGCTTGCCTGCCCATCTCTGATGCAAAAGTCAATCAATGGCCACCATATTAAAGGGGAAAATTGGATTAATCAGCTCTCTACCTCATGAAGACTGGTGATTTTAGATCCTTTGGGCAGCAAATTCCTTTTTCCTTGCATCCACCTTTTAAGAATGTCACCTCCATTCACTGCCCTTATACCTAGATCCCAATTATAACAGGTGTTCACTTCAGAGAAATCAAGATTAATTCATTCAGGAAAATAAAAAAAAAATCAAGAGACACGGGGCTGTTTTAATTAAATCTTTCAATTACATGGGAGATACAAAGAGGGAGAAGCCCAATTTTTAAAAAATGTTTACAAAGAAATAACATTTAGAACTGAAATTCCCAAACGAGTTGAGGCTCAGTCAACTAAAGCAGATTCTTGGGGCGGAGGGAGGTGGGGGGTGGTGATGGAGGGGTTTCTCAGCACAGCTGTGGAAGGATGCCCTGATGAAACAATTCAAGCTTCTTTCTTGTAAACATGGCCCTTGGGACTCTATCCACCCAAATGCAGACTGACACATCTTTTCTCATTTGTTTGCAACACTGACTTCGGATTGAATGGCTTATATCTCCCTCAGGAATATCAAAGAAGTAGGAAAACATCTTTTTGTAAGCTTTTTGAGGCATTCTTTAGAAAAGGTGAAGGCGATCATTCACTGATAACCATTCTAGGTTTCCTCAGGGCATCTCCCAACGTTCTCAACAGAGAAACACACAAGGACTCTAGTGAAATATCAAAACAGAAAAATCTTTTCAAAAACTATAAGCATAAAGGCTCCCTGAACGCTGGGTGGAAAAATTAATATCCTTCAAGGACAGTACCATGGTTGTAGCTTTACAAAATACAATTACAAAAACCACAGGTTAATCCTGCACAGACAAATGTGCTAGCCAATTCTATAATTTTCCTTTTACTCCATCTGAACTGGGCCAAGAAATTGTGGTCCGTAGGGCTTAGAACATGCTAATGTCTTTGAGCTCATAGAATATTAAGATGTTTTTGCTAAAAGTTTTCCTAAAATTAAATTTAAACAACTGTTCCATGCTTTTATTTCTAAAATTCAATTTTATAAAATCATTTCATGCCTCCCAATACACTGCCCACGTTCTATGTAGAAGAAATAATTTTGAGGAAAACCTTTTCTAGATATTTTTCTGGTTTCATAAGGTCCATCATTATGAAGTTTAATGTGATCCTTTTCCTAACAGATGACATCTCTAATTAACGTGGCAAATCAACAAATCAGTTTTTACCAGCTCATTTCAGTGCCTAAAATGACTACTAAGGTTAAATCAAATTTCACAACAACTAACCCTGAATAAAGACTTTATCCAAATAATCAATTATCTAATTTCCTGCATCTGGGTCAGCAAGCCTTCATCTATAGGAAACTTCCTGCCCACATCAGAGTGCTGTACACCCTGTGGGCCAAGAGGCAAATTTTAGAGCAGAAGTACAATTTCCTAGCTTCCCTGAGCTACTAGATTGGTCTTGGATTCAGCAATCCAATGACCTAATAATAATACACCAAGTCTACCATTTCCAAGGCAACAAAGCACCTTTCTGGGCCATCTGTCCTAGTCTCCAGTCTATATGAAGAGCAGAGCACTTCACCACAATTTGGATCTGGATAGAACAGACTAAAACTGTGCCCCCAAACTTCATTCTACAAACAATGTGGCAAAGCACACTCTGCCTATCCTATAGTGTTAGTTCTTTCTTCTAATACCAGAATGCTATAGACAGATCTGACTATATTCAATACTAAAAAAAGCAGCCTTGAAAAT